CGGAAACTGTTTGAAAAAGTGACTGGCCCGGTCTGGAACAGTATATTTATTATATTATCTATGTTCTCATAACAAAATACTGTTTAATTTTCTCCGAAAACTATATAAACAAAATGCGGTCAAAAGTTGGTTTGTTATGTTTATTTTATGTTGTCAGTGTCAGTTTATATTAAGTTTAGGTATTCTATTTTCCATATTTTTTGTATAAGTCGCTGAATACATAGGTATCTAAATTAATAATTTAGTTTCATTTTCCTTTTTACCACCCTCTTAAAATTTTTAAATAAATTGGAGAAATTATTATTAAACAATGTTGTGTTATTATGTGCAACAATTTGTGCAATTGCCTAGTCTATAAAATACTCATCTACTTCCACAAATTATATGAGCCGATTAGATTATTATTTATTTATTTATTAATAATTAGTAAGACAAATTATAGAATGTAGCAATTTAACAAAAAATAACTTAATGAACTCGAAAAAAACTTATGGCTTTGTTCCTTTCGAGCAAGTCATCGTTGTTTTTTTTTTATTTCTTGGCAAACGAATCCGCCCCTGCTAGCTCGAGTATCTCTTTGTGAGCGCTTGCTTGATGTTAATTGGCAAGCAAAAGGGAATTTTGAAATTTTTTTCGGTGAGGTTGACTCCGCTCACAGGTGGTCACTACTTAACATGCTGTCTAATGGGCACTGCGATCTCCGCGGGCCTTTTTCTCTACCCGAAGCTTTTATTTTGACGGTTTTATTACTCGGTCCGCATCTTTTTTTTTCTCGGCCTTTTTACGTCCCATTGTGTGCACAAGGCCTATTATTAACAATCACTTAATAACTGCTCCATGGGATGTCCTAACATTTTTATTAAGAGTCCTGGAAAATGGTATTTAAATTTTTTTTTAATTAATTTGTAAAGTAAGGTATACCTATAAGTAAATTATAATTTTTGATATCATTTTTAGGCCCAGACATATATATATATATATATTTGTCTAAGACCCAATTCTTTTATGCATAAAGCTAGGAAATTGAATTTACGATTTATTTTGCGGACTGCTTACGAATTAAGTGCATTTTTCCATTAAAAATGATAAATTCGAGTTGACAAATTTCCTCTCAGAAATGTCTTCTTTTGTGCTGGGAACACAAAATGCATTTTGTAGGCGAAATTTACATACATTTAATGATAATCGGGCAGAACATTTATTTTGAATCAGATTAAGGGGTTTTTACTGAGAAAACAAGTACGTTAGTTTTAATGGGAGTTGGAAGTTTAAAGTTTTGCCAAAAATGGAATTTGTGGGTAAAATAGTTGGTTGGTTTTATTACAATGTTTCTAGACAGTAAGCTCAAATAAAGTATGTTCATTTCGGTTAAAGTTGTCTAATAAAACTTAAATAATTTTTTTTTATTTTCTTGAGATTTTGTGTAAAGTTAAGTAAGCTAATAATGTTTTTAAACTTGGTTTTAAACAAATTACGAATCCCAAGCTGTATTTTAAGTAAAACACTCGAGCTTTGGGAGTTTTTGACTTAATTAAGTACCTATTTAAATATATTTAAAAAAAAATCTTAAAATGGTAATATTAAGACGCCATATTGAATTATTTCAGATGTCATCCAATATTTAATAGGAAATTATGTATACATACTCCCATATACAAGTATTTCAGAAATATACAATATTCCAATGATTACCATTTAAAAACATAAATTAAATAGTCAAAGAAAATATAAAAAATACAAATTAGGTAATTTTAACGTAATTTTTTCGTAAATATGTAGTATTTATTTTTTATTACGTTATTCATTTGGTCGCGTTATATAGTAAAAATAACTTAATAATATTTGGTAATTTTCGTCTTTGTACCTTCATTTTAACGTTTAAGTTTACAGTAAAAATGACTTAGTTAACTTACAAGTAAACATGTAGTTATATCAATTAAAAATGCTACTTGGGATAACAAAACTGGATAATATAAAGTATATAACATATTATGTTGTTTAATCTTATTCATACTATTTTTAAGTACTTTCATAGTATGAGTAACTTATGACTAAGAATATTGTTATTAATTTATTTATTTATTTATCTGTTTGCAATAAGTATAAGTTATTTTTCTCTAAATGTTCAGAAAAAAATATAAAATATAAAATTTATTTTCCAATAAAATGTTAATAGAAAATTTTACGATTGTTTCCAACTGAGATTTTTATATATTTTAGCATATCCAATCAGATTATCATTAACGAAGTAGTTTAAATGTCGTAAAATTAAACTAATGAACAATTTTAATTTAAATATGTTAAAATATTGAAAAATATGGGCACTTCGTCGTTAAACTATTAATTTAGTTGTAAATTATGTTTACAACCAATGGATTTTAAGTAAAAAACAGAACATAACATGGTTTTTATTTGCAAATCAATGTAAATTTAACAGTTTATATAATTTATTTAAACTTTATTGTTGTCAACACTCGCCACTAAAGTGATTTATTAAGGCCTAGGCACTTAAAATGATTCAGACCGACAAATACTTAAATTAAATATTTGTATAGAGCGACATCTGTAAAACAATAGAGTAATCAACTTGGGAATATGTATTATTTTAACGATTGTATGACATTTGACAACTGTCAACTAACTTAAAACTAACTTCAGCCCGTGACTAAAAAATTGTTGCTAACTTCAGCCCGTGACTAAAACGCCATAAAGCCACAATTTGTCAATGTTTTACTTAGTGTCATAAAATATAAACGATAATGGGCGTTTCAAAGGTGGAAGTAGAAAAATATAATTATTTTTCATAGAATTTTTTTCGGTTTTCATAAAATAAGTTTTATGGTTACAAAACGGCCAAGTTTAATAACTTTTGGGAAGCGAGCTTTTAATCTAAAATCTCGAGCCTCAATAGCATAATCATGACGATGTGACATTAAGATAAGGCTATTATGCAAAATGATTAAATTTTATTGTATCATTATTTAAATATTAAGTATTTTATGTTGTTTTCATTGCAAGGAAAGAATTCGATGCGACACGTGTGTATGGTCAATGTATTTCAATAAAAAAATCTCTATTAACACCAAATTTATTGATTGGGTATGCTAATGCCATACTAAAACGAATCAGATAGTTTAATGGGTGATCATAAATTTATTTGTACATTTTAGATTATTATTATTATTATTATTATTATTAAAAAAATGAGGTTAGGTTTACGGGTATTTGGACAGGCTAGAAAAATTCACAGCAGATTTCAATTGCAATTAAAGGAAAATTTGAATTTTGATTAAAACCAAAGTTGCTAAACATAAAATGTAATAGATTGTGACTTATAATAAAATATTTTTTTAAGACATTTTTTACCTAAATGTGACAATAAAATAACTACTAAGCATTTTTTGAACATTTGTATTCAAAACAGATTCCATCTCATTAAGGTTCAAATCATCATGATGTTTTAATAAAAAAAACTTTTTATGTTATTCCGTTTTCCTGATATAAATCTCCTGGACGTTCTACTAATTTATCATGCCTGAAGGATAGGCATTAGGAATAATTTATGATCAATATATATTTTATAGCTAAATACTTAATAATATTTAACGTTTAGCTTGGGGAAACAAAAAATCCAGAGTTATTCAAGATATTTCAGTATACAGAGTGGCAACAGAAAAAGTTTAGAGAAAAGATCATTTTTATAAAAAATATTTATCTACAAACGCTGCTCTCAGTTCTATACCGTTTACAAAAACGTTTTGTAGTATTAATGAACCCCTAATGGTATTATTCATAGAAATTTTGTAAATTTTACAAATCCATTTTCGTGTAAAATAAAACTTTTTTTATAACATAAATAAAATTTATGTAAATTTAACAACAAATTAATTGTTAATTCAATAAACTATTTTCATTGTAACAATGGTCACATTTTCAACCTACTGTTGGGTGTTGGGTAGTTTTTTTTAAATAATTGCAAGGCATCAAAACAAATTATTTATTATAACAAAAAATTAACTAATATTATATGATGTACAAAATAAAAAAAAATAGGAACTCACTTTTTAAACAACAAGTCTGCTTCGTTTATAGAATATACCTTAAATATTTCTTTTAGAAAACGTCGAAATTTTAATTTTCTTAGTGATCTTTTTGATAAATTTTTATCATGCTAAATTTTACCACACTTCACTCGCACAAGTGAAATCAATAAGATTATAACACAGACTGTGGATTATAAAGTAATGTTCACCAAGGAGAGCGCTGGCCCTTTCCCCCTCTTTTTAAGGAAAATAACAATTTTGTTACCATTGCAAAACAATAGTAAATATTAAAAAAGTCTTTTAATAGCAATAAACTATTTTTGTTATTGTTAGCTATTGTAAGCTATTAACAAAGATTTTCTAACTGAAATAAAATTAATTTGAATTTTAACGATAGTAATTTAGAAAAACAAATACGCCATAGTAAAATTAACAAATTTTACTATAACTGCGCATTACTATAATATATTACATATTATGTAAACGCAATTTACACACAACTATAGATTTAAAAAAAACATTTTAAGTTCGACAAAGATTTAATATAAACATAAACATGATTGATGATATGAGCTTCATCTATATATGTCAACTTTATCTAGATATACTTTTTTCAATAATAAACCATAAAATTTAAGATTTAATTTTAAAAAAGAACTTTTTATCTAATTTGGAACAAAATATCGATAAAAATAAATTTTAATTTATTTCTTTAAGTTATTACATATGCTACGACTATCTAAATACTTATTTATTTCCTTAATTTATAAGATCTCTTATACACCTGTACCATAGTGGTTCTCTAAGAGAGTGAAAGTCCAAGGCGAGTTCTGATAGGCTCATGCATATAAAATAAATTATTTAATAAATTATCAATTACTTAGTGGAGGTATAAAACTGAATACCATTCAATAATATTATTCATTAGTAAGTAGTGGCCTTTTTTGAGAAACTTACCTAAATTTTGAGCGTTACAGAGAGCTATTGCGATAAAAAATATCAGTAGTAGTCCTATGATTTTTTCCATGTTATCCTGAAAAAAAACATGAATTAAATACAAAACAACTCTTGGCAATAACAAGAAAAAAATGTCGCCAGTATTTACATTTAACCTCCTTAAGATAAACTTAAAAAAATAATTAAGACGATCAATTATTTCAAGCATTAACTGTGTGTCACATCAAGTGTGCTGTTGTTGGCGCCATTACTAGATCCGGTACTGAAATTCTTGGAATTCCATCTCTAAATTTCGATACTTTTCTTATTGGCTCGTCTTATAATGAACATTAAACCATTTTTTCTGCTAACAAACAAATTTGAATATTATAAAATGTACAACAGGTTGGTTTTGTAGCTTAAGGCCAATATTTTCGTTGGTTAATTTAAATTTAAATAATAATAATATATATTGTGCATATGTTAAGAAATGTATGGTCAAATAGTTAAATGTGGATACTTTTAATTTGTATAATGGTCAAATTGCCACTTGGCAAATAACTTTTATAATATCCTTAAACCTTTTAGAAAATAAACAATTTGTAAATTGTGACAAAAACAACACCATTACATCCGAAGTTAAGCTTGAAAGTTTTGTTTTAGTTTGAAGAATATAGAGACTAAAACTATTTGTTTGTTTATATTCTATAATATACCGGGTGAGTTTTTTAAAGCGTTAAAACGGTTTAACATTTTTTGTGAAATTTTTGTAAAGTAATAAATAATATTTTTGACATCTGTGTTGATGTACTTTTTTTTAATTTGAATCTATGTAATGTATGCAAAAATTAGATATATGGTTTAACTGGCCAATGTATAAATGGCTCTATACAAAAAACTAATAAATAATAATTGTTAATAAATGATGTTTAAAAACTTTATCGAATTTTTACCAACATCCGAGGTTTGCGATACGAAAAGTCAAGGCTCCCAACTTGATTTAGATATATTTTGGTTATTAATTAAAACTTAAAATACCGGCGCATCCACCATTTCTACAACTTTAACTTTAACTCTTACCCAATAAAGAAAAGTTCTTAATTAATTAAATCATGTAATGTAACCATTAAAATTGTGACTTAATGGACGGTCCATTACAGACCATATGGGTTTTGTTTCAACATATGCACAGAACTGATTGATCATGACCTTCGCACTGATAATAGTAATAATAATAAAAAAAATTAATTAGTTAAGATACAAAATTTATCTGCGGAAATAAAATTGGAACCTTCTTATCATTTAAAAGTTTATTAAAACTAACAATTTATTTTGCGTAGATCATTAATTATGAGAAATTTATATTATTAATGGAAGATTTAAGACGTCTGCATTTTAACAATTTTAATTTGTTGTTTGCATAAACAAAAAGTATTTTTTTAGTAAAACATAAAGTTTGCGTTAAAAATAGAATAAACACAATAAAACACAACCTGAATTTACAATTTTTTATGTGTGGTTTTAAAAAAATTATTGCAATTTGAGATTTAGGCCATTTTCAAAAAACTTACAAACCCCCAATTCTAGACATACATTTCAGCATTTCATATTAAGGCAAATAATAGTATTAAATAGATCACAAGACCAAGATCATTGACCGCTTCAATAATCTTGAAATAATCTATCAAAAGTTAATTAATATGTGAAGGCTTGGCGCTAGTGTTAGCTTTAAAAATATACGCAATCAACACATAACTTAACAAAAAAAAACACTAACATAATAAATATTATATTTTTGTGGGGTTTATTTCAAATGTTACTACTACTTTGATTTTTTAAAGAGTTTAATATGTATAAAGCTCGAACAAAATTGTACAATTAAAAACACTTAATTTGTTTAAATCCGGGTAATTGAAAACTAAAATTAATGTTTTAGGTAATTGAAAACTGTCCAAATTTAAACAAAATTGGATAATTGAAAACTGCACGTACCTAAATTTAAGAAATGGTAGGACAAATTTTCACAGTATCATAAAATTAAAAAATCCTAATTTAAACAAAATGTGCCTTTTTCCACAAAATAATTTAAATTAGCTAAAAATGCTCAGTAAATTTCTGATAATTGGGACGAAATTTACAAAATTTAAAAAAAATTAAAATTTTTAAAAAATCGCAATTTTTTTTAATAGTTATTTATTAAAATTTTTCAATTGTTTTTTTTAACTTTTTATTCAAACCTTCATTATCTGTATTTTATACCTTTTTTCGAACATTTTTTTTTAGTTAATAAGGACTTATTTCATATTTAACAAATTTACATAGAATTTTGAAGATAAAATGTTTTTAGCTAATTTAAAAAAAATGTGCTTTATTTTTTTCCACAAAATAATTTAAATTAGCTAAAAATGCTCAGTAAATTTCTGATAATTGGGACGAAATTTACAAAATTTTGAAAATTAAATTTTTATGAAAATATTTATTAAAATTTTCCAACATTGTTTTTTTTTAAACTTTAAAATTTTTAATCAAACATTTATTAATTGTATTTGATTCCTTTCTTCAAACATTTTATTGTTTTTTTCACCCATATAAATTATAATTTGCATACAGAACATTTTTTTTAACCTTTGACACACACAGGTTTTTAATCTTGAACTGTTTTATTTTTAGTGTAGACGCTTAAATAGAAGTGGAATTACCTATAATTATTCTTTAATTGTGTCTTCATTTCAAAATTAGGCCATTTAATTTTTTTTTCATCTATTATTATAAACTGGGTAATAATTTTTTCTTTATATTATTTAGTGCAATAACTGTTTTAAAATCTTGGAAAAAATATGAAAAAATCAATTTATCTATTTTGCGTTCAAATGACTTCATTATAACATTAACAGCCGCTTATTGTAAATAAGTAAATTAAGGACGGCATGGCGAATCGATTTTGACATTAACTGTCAAACCAATGACTGTGATACCAACTATCTAAAGTAAAATTCGACCAAATTAAATTTAAGGTATAAATTTTTTTTATAGAATTTTTGCAAAATAGATAAAATAGCATAAAGAACTCATGTCATAAGACCTTTTATCGCACTAGTCCATTACATAATTGTTATTTTTCCTTGCAAAACAAAAAAGGTGGAACACAGAAATGGGTAAAAAATATTATTAATAAAATATATTTTTGATCTAAAACTACTTTGGTTTAAAACTAACCACATGCAAAGCATATGAAATTAGCCGAGCAATAAGGCAAAAAATAAAGAGAAAGAGAGAGAGTGAGGATTGCAAATGTAATTGGTACATAACACTCGTAAGTTAAGTACATGCAGTAGCCGAAAAGTTTTGTAAACTTTCGCGATTCGTAGCCATAACACACAACTACAGCACATCTGAGGCCACTCGCTGAAAGGTGGGTTTTCAGTAGAACTCGCTTTTCCAGGGAATTATTAATTATAAGTGTATTTAGTGCGGGCCGACGCGTCGATTGACGTTGAACCGATTTTTAAGTGTTTACAACTAAACCGAAGCGGATTTACGATTTCAAAACTGTTGCGACGTTAAACGCGTCGTTTAACATTTTATGAGTCCTTTAAGTTAAACAATGTCGATTTTATTGGGCCTGCAAGGTGGCCCATATTAAAAATCTATTAAGATTTTTTCAGTTTTCACTCTCTTAGCACACATGTTTTCCTGAGAGGTTGATAGAGTGGCCAGCGAAATCTCCAGATCTAACCTCTCTCGATTATTTCTTATGGTGCTACCTTAAATCAAAGGTCTACAATTTTTCCAAATATTTTTACTTGATTATACGTTGGATATATAATTGAAAAATCTCTTAAACATAAAACCTGATAATTGCACGTTACCGGCATAAACAGTGAGAATATTTTCAGATAACGCGCTCTCGAGTTTCTGGAAATTATTATTTAATCAATTAAATAAACTAATAACTACACGTTTCACTTGCAATTTTTTTTAATGATTTTCCTCATTAATGCTGCGTCCTTGAAAATAAAAACTTATTTGTAACGTACACCATATAAAACGAATTATTAGCGACAATAACATGTTTACTTGATGTAGTCGATTTCTGATGTGTTCTAATAAATAAGGAAAAATTCCTTCTGGGGTCCACGGGTCACCAAACATTCATATTATTTATTAACAGTGATGCCGATTACTGTGGGAATACCACAGGGATCTGTACTTGGACCCTTGATATTCATCCTTTACGCAAACGACTTGTCCAAATACTATTTGCCGATGTAAACTCAAAAAATTATTGTTTCATTAAAAAACACAAATTACAAAAAAACAAATAGCTGAATTAAGCCGTTAATATTTTATTTTAAATTCAAAAATAATTTTACCAAAGACACTTTAGATTGTTTGGAGGTCGTGCCCCCGCCATTTTATTGTTAATTTATCATCTCAAGCTAAAGAATCCTTCCCTAATCATGCTTATTTGTTAAAATAAAATGATTGGAACATTATCTAGAAACATGTAAGTTACATTAGCCGGTGGTTTATAAATTAGATCTTATTGTCCTTTATCTAATAATAGACTGCTCAAATAAATTTTCGTAACGCATGTTCAAAGCCTTTTAATAAATGAGCAAATGGACTTCAGGCTAGTCTATTTGCAGACTTTGGCATGGAAACCAAGCAACTAGTAGCTACTCCAGAAGAGCTGGAAAAAGCTCTCACAAGGTCTTTATCAGTTGGCCTATGATCTTGTGGAAGAGTGAGAAAACTTTTCACGAGATGAGAGCTTGATGTTTTCAGTTTTACTTCAACTTTTCCCAGGTTAGACACCTTGGTTTGGCAGGTTTAGAAAACTTACTTTTTATTGAAAGGCTTTTAAATATGCCTTCCTCTTATTTTGCAATATTGTAATTTTCAAGGATTTTTTTATCCTTAAAATAATTTTACAAAATTCTGTTTTTTTTTCTTTGAAATTTTATGACATTTTATAAATATCCAATATTTTGGTCTTTTTTCACTATTTTTTATAAAACCATTTGAATTGAAATAATATTTTAAGACCCTATTTTCTGTGATTTGTAATTTTCAACGATATTTTTATACTTAAAAATAATTTTACTAAAATCCTGCTTTTTATTTTTTGTTCGAGCAGTGTATAAGCCATTTTATGGGCTTAACTTAATCCTTTGCCTTATTTAATTGCATGTGGATAACGTATTTTGTCTATATAAAATTATTATTTCTTATTTTAGTCATTAAAACCGTAGTGCATATTGCGGAAGGATTATATTTGCCACATAAAAAAACGCTTTAAGTTAAAGCCTTTAACTTCCTTTGAACAGCCTAGGATTATATTGTCATAACTCCATTATAAATCCAATTATAAAACTTCGATTATAATAATCAAATATCGAACCAATTTGTAATTGCACAGAGTTTCGCAATAGTTCTATAAAATAAAGTTACTTTTTATGTTGAAACTGATTTTGTTGAACTAAAGATATTTTCTTAGATGGACACAAATTAGTATTTAAAGCAGGTACTATTATCTTAATGGATGATACCTGTCACAGTGAGAAGAGTAAATCTTTTATTATTGCTTGGGATAATAAAGTTCTAACTCCAGACAACGTATAACGGTTGATAATTAAAAAAACATTAGGTATCAGTTTAGAGTTGGTATTAACTTCATAAAACCATTAGATTGTAATAAAATTCAGACCTTTAATGTGTCAAACATTTTTTTTGTAAGATATGAGGTTTTTATTATTTATTTATTTATATGGATTTTTTACATAATCATAATCATTTTATCATTTATTTAATTTTATATAAATTAAAGAATAATTTATCAAAAACACTATGGGTTGAACCTGATATATACAGTGTGTCCCACCGAAAACTGTACCCAACCCAACCCAACCTCAAAATCTTCAATGGCCCTGTAATTCATGAGATACCTTGTTCAAAATTGTAATGTAAAATATTTTACATACTAATTAATCAAATGTTCAAAATACTCTTCAATATTTTGAAGACAATAATAAAAAGAATAATAAATAAATTTTATATTTATTATTATATATTTTGTTTATAATATTTATTTATATTTTTATAAAACACTGATCTACGGAATTATTTTTTTAAAAATTGGGCTTTAAAAATTTTGTAATTGTCAAATTTGTACCTAAAATTCAAATACTTGAAATTTTGTTGTTTAGTAAGATCGAAATTTCAATTATTTCAATCAAATTTTTTATTAAAAGTGAGATTTTTGCATTAAAATGTGAAATTTACTAAATTTCACACATATCTCCAAAAATCAAGAAATTAAAAAAAAAATAAAAAAATAAAATGACTGTCTTAAGAATAAATAAATCAACAAACCACAATACTAACCTTACAAAATCGACCATACAGTTAAACTAAAACACACACTGTTGAATATTCCTGAATTCAAATTAAAAACACTAGTGTCAAACTGAATAGAACTTGTTTATTCACTGCGAAATGCACGCACACGTAAAAGTAAACTGAGCGGGCGGTAAACGGCAATTTACGTGCACAACCGTCCGCTGGCCACGATAGCTTGATACTGTGATTCGGCCACGATATCGAAGAATCAAGTGTGCGTACTCTATACTATCCCCTACTATGCCCAATGAATGTTGCAGCCTGCTATTGCTGCTGCATGGATCTCATCAATCGCGTTTGCGGGATTGGTTGCTGAAACACTGGATTTTCTGGAGTTTTTAGAAATAATCCTCAAAAATTCCATTTATCAACAGTTATTTATTTTTTATGATTTTCGTTGAAAATTGCTCAGCTGTTCTTATAAGCAACGTTTTCAAACACTTTATGTGAGATTCTAAAAATTGGTAGGTAAATGCCAAATAAATTTTTTGATCCCATGGACATTTATAATATCAAAAACATTAACGTTTATTTTTTTAAATCAATTAAATGTTTGGTTTTATTTATTTTATGTAATAATAGTATATTAAAGAACTAATGTCAATAAGACGTCATTTTGACAAAAGGTCTTATGACATGAGTTCTTTAAGCTACTTTATCTATTTTGTAAAAATTCTATCAAAAAATTAATTTTCACCTTAAATTTAATTTGGTCGAATTTAACTTTAGATAGTTGGTATCACAGTCATTGGTTTGACAGTTAATGTCAAAAACGATTCGCCATGCCGTCCTTAATTTACTTATTTACAATAAGCGGTTGTTAATGTTAAAGAAGAAAAAAGGGATTTTATTTGGTGTTAAAAAATAAATAAAGGATATTTTTTTTTAATTATAAAAATGTTAAGCTATTCATTGCTACTTTTTTCAAATGTGTATATTTTTTTTATATATACTAGTAAGGTTATAATAAATTTTGATACCAAAAAATTACTTAATTGAAGTATAAAAAGCATAGCATACACATTATTCACTAGTGTTTATAATTAATATTAAAATGGGTAGTTCTTTGGGGTCCATAAAGAAGCACCTGAAACTTTTTCTAAATTCTAAAGACTGAAAATAATTTATAATAACCTTTATCCTATCAAAAAGTACGCCACTGATTGACTAGGAACTTTGGGCTAATCTGGTTGCCTAATTCAATTTATTATGTTAAGGTCGGTAACAAGCAGAGTTTCCAGATTCTGTCAAAAAAAGTTGCCAAATTTTGTTTAAATTTAGATTAATTACAAAAATTTTATTAATTGTTTATTATGTCATTTTTGTAAACAAAATCTGGGTAAACAGAAAGAAAAAACCCGATGAAATAATTAATTTTGTGGTTATGGAGTTTTTAAAATAGGTACTAATTTTTCTTTTCATTGCTAATAGCTGGATGAGTAAATAAATGCAGAAGGGTATTTATTAGAGCTTTAAGCTTAACTTTTGTATTTATTGAGTTTTTATTTATTTTTTGCAAGAAAAATTTTAAGTAACAATTTTTTACAACTGGAAACGCGCAGCTACTTTGTTGGTTAGTATCTATGTACTCACAGAAGAGTGTGTAACCAGTGGCGTATCACAAAAAATATAAAAAACTTCCAACGCATATTTTTTCTTTATCTCTGGAAAAATATTTTTTAAATATAAATAACATAACACCCTGTATTTCAAAAATCATGGTTTACAGATGTATTTAATGACAGTGATTAACTTTTTATTTTTGAAACATCGTATTTTATTGGTTTCTGTTCTTAATAAACCATTAAATAACAAAAATTTGTTGAATTCAAAAAAAATTGAATTCCAAAAATTGTAGATTTTTGTTACTTTTTAATAATTAAGTGCAAATTGACGTATGTATGTTTGCTTTTCCAAATTGATTACTTTTTACAAAATTCTATGAAAAATACAGTTTTTATAGGATTTTCAGAAATGTTAGACTTTGTTGTTAATATATTGGTTTTGAATACCATAGTAAATAGTAATTTGTATTCAAATTCTAGCAATTAAAAAAATAGTTTGGCAAATTACAAAAAAAATTTATCTACACATAGATTAGGAAAGCATGCACAAAATTAAAATAAAAAAAATAATTACATGCATAGTGTTAGTGAATGCGCGTTGCACATTCTGCCCGGCGCCAGTGTGTTGCGGTACAAAAGTAATTCCTAATGAGTGTAGATTACATGATTGGTGATTTAATTATTAAGTCAAGTCCGTACGGCCGGCGAACAGTATGCGAAACGCGTGCTATTAAGAAAATTTTATTTTTTTTTATTTTTTACTTCGTTATAAATGATAGCTCTCTATAATATGCATAACAGGTGCTATACAATTATTTTAATGTTTCCTAATGAATGAAACATTTTTGAGGCAAAAAAGGCAGTGGTAGAATTCGTTCTATTATAGTTAACGAAAATAAAAATTAACGATACAACATATTTGCAAACGGCGAACGATTAGTTACACTAACGAGATCCATAGTTACCAACCTTACGCAATTAATTACAATTACTTATTAAATAGGAAAAAACGCGACGAGATACAAAAATGTCATGTATATAATTACAATAAACTTAATTAAAAAGAAAATACTTTGTTTAATTTAATTGATACAAGGGAAAACAGAGACCAAGCACTATGGGGCAAAAATTACCTTTTGAAGACCAAATACAAAATCTCTTGAATGTTTTTTCTTTCAACAAAATGCAAAGTATTTTTGTTCAAAATCTATGGAAATTATTTATATTTACGCAATTCATTCAAGATACATCACAATTATTATACATTTTGCCGTGGTGAGGGAAATTAAAGCTTAAATACTAACAACGGTGGTAGTTTCAGTGAAGATCAGAAGCTTTTGAATAAAGCAATACATACTATTGGACCAAAAGATATTTGCTCAAAATAAAATGTGGTTAGGTCAATAGTATATGCTTTTCAATAAGGAGTGTAATATCATTAAACGAATAGATTAATCTCTCCCCTTAAGTAATTTAAAAAAAAATTATGTAAAGATAGTTTCTGATTTAGATTAAGAAACATAGCTCTTGTCCCTATTCAAAAGCGCAAATCTTTTGAATCAGAGTGATTTTCATTTCTTTTAATAGATTATTTTTTTCATTGTTCAGAGTTCTAAAATCGAAAAATCTGTTAATATTAGAATCCTTATGCAACGTAAAATGTATTGAACTTCTGCTACTTCTTCAAATTTTATTGTCCATAGTCGTTCGTGTTAATTTTTTTTTTATGTTTTTGTGTCAACATTTCTTCTAGACGCACCTGGTCAACAGAAAGCGGGAATCCACTTAGTCTTTAAAGTGGAAATTGCACGGTGTAATTAATAAACAATTTATTTTATTTTTGTCAACAAAAACTAATTCTTCTTAATTAGGATTTACGCGTTACTAATTATCGATCGATAATTATACACTCTTTGTAAGACAGTTTTTGTCATTTATAAGGTAATTTTTATTTAATAAAAACAAATCAAATTTTTCATTAATATATACTTATCATATATTATATGCTTTAAGGTTTTGTCCATGTATTGTATGCTTTAAAACCCGCAGAAAACATCTAGCAACCATGACATTACTTGGTTTATTTCCATAACAAACAAAATTTTAACTAGAAAAATATTGGGAATCCCTTTCAAAAAAATCAAACATTTCTGTGATACCACTAAACTGGTCGCATATTTTCAAGTCAAGTCAAATATTAGCAGAAGCTTTTTTTTATAAACTATTATTTGTTGACGCAAAGAATTTTTGCATACGGCCTTGTGACGACCAATAGGAATTTGACCTTTTTTCTCAAGAATTCGGCAAGGATTGTCATAAAAAGTAAACAATTTAACTTTTGACATTAATAAGTTAATTTCAGTAGCGTTTGGTTTGATAATAATTACCCAAATAAGCATAAATTAATTGCCCCCCTTACCCCGCTACTGGGTTATTTTAATTATCGTCTATTAAATAAAGAAATCAACAATGGCAGCACCATCTTACATTTATTTATTTATTTAATTCATGTTTTATTCATAAGCTAGCATGCACGCTTAATGTATATTTATTTATTGTATTATTTAAAGAAATCAATTAATAAATAGTGTTTTTGTGCTATAAATATTAAAACCAACTCGTTTCTTTTTTTTACGTTGGTAACACGATTCCCCAAATAAACTACTCGTTGATTTTATTGCATTGTTTATTGTTATTTTATTCCGCTCAATCCTATGCATGTTTTTAATGAAAAAACACCCTGTAATGTTAATTGAGATATCTTTTAATTAAGTGAGCCTTGTTGGTACCTATGTTTATTGTCGGCATTATCAGCTCATGCTGTGAAATACCTGTCATTGGCGCCGGATATAACCATAGAAAAAGTATATATAACGGCCAACTAAGGACCCTGTCCTTCAGGAAGTGTCATAAAATTTACTTGTCATCGGCAAAAACAACATTAAAATTTTTACTTTGAAGTTAGTTGAATTTAGTAATTTCTACGGAAAAATGTCTACTAGACAGGTAGATAATTAAAATAAACATTCCTCAATGAAAAAGTACTTACCTAGGTACCACTTTATCTGCCGGCTTCTTAAAACTATCAACCACCAAAAGAATAAATCACAGCACAAAAAAATCCACTGGACGCACAAAACTGACCGACTGAAGCCATTTTTATTATTGAATAATTTAATGGTTGCCAAAGTGACAAAAAAAAGTGGCTGTCAAAGACCACTTGATCTTTTAAATAATTTCCAAAAACTCTTTAAAACGATTCATGTGTCACACATGCACAGATTATAATATAAACACACATCAATTAATTAATTTTAACTTGGAAAGTTTTAAAAGAGTATTCGAAGAAATTTAAATAAACTAAACAATCAGAAGAGTAAAGTTCATTGACACGCGAATTCCTTCCAAGAAATCAAACGTCAAATTGTTTTTGACAGCAGTTCTGTCATTTTATGATTTATACGTGTTTATTTTTTGGTGAAATAAGTAACCACGAAGACTGGTCTTCGTTGAAAAACCAAGTTTTTGTGCTGAAAATTGAATTCGTAAGTACTAAATAGTTTTATAATTATTATAGACAGTTTAAGGGGTTGTTATAGATAGTTTTAGGACCGATAAACAACGTTTTTAATGTTGTTTTGTGTCATAAATATTACTAAATATAGGTAGGTGCATTTATTCATATTTTTCTGATCATTTAAAAATGGCATTTTCCACGAAATATTTACGGAAAACTAAAAAAACAT